ATATATATATATATATATATATATAACAAAATAAAAAAGAAAAAAAAAAAAAGAAATCCCAGGTATATAGTAGAGCTGACAAGGGACAGGCTGTAGTCACTTCTTGGCCACAGCCAGTTACTCAGAGGGAGCAAGTAGTTGGACCTTTGGGCTCGGGACCATGGTTACAAGAGATATCAAGCTCAACTAGTGTAACATACTATACAAAAACATTGTTCTACATCCGACTTTGGTGAGTAGCAACTGGGATCTTAAAAGCTTGCAAGAAGCCATCTAGATGCAACAATGGGTCTCTCCTCGTTCAGAGCAAAGAAGAATGAAGAAAACCAAAGATGCATGGAAACAATTAGTCCAAGGAACTGGTATACCATATGATCCTCACCTTATATGACTATGAAACCAGAAGAACTAGATGGTGCCTGGCTACCACTGTCAACCACTTAGAGGGGGATCTATGTAGGAGATCCTGGATAGAGTGGAAGAACAATGTGGAACAAAACTCAAAATCATTAAAAAAAAGAAAGGCAGGGGGACCAGGTTTGCTGATCCGATAGAGCCTGATGGAATCACTGAGACTATGGCCCCTAGCTCCCTTCAGGTCTGGAACTGAACCCACTCCTGTGGCTTCCACCAAACAAAAGACAGGCATATGAGCTGAACATTTACATTAGGTAGATAACACTCCCTGAAGAGCTCAATCATGGGAGAATAGAAGGACTATGTATCAACAGGGAGACAGCTCAGGAGACAGGAGTGCATGGGAGGGAAGGACACAAGGAAGAGGTAGTTATGGGGAGGAAGTGGGAAGAGAGCTGCTGCACTGTGGGAGATTGAAGTCAATGTCATGAGACAAAGTGTATGTGAACTGCTGTATGGAAGATGAATTTGCTCTGTAAACTTTCACCCAAATCACAATAAAATTTCAAAACACACACACAAATCCTGAGCTTTAAAAAGAAACTGGGGGGAGAGGGGGGTTGTGGAAAGGGATAATCAGCAGGCACATTTCACACAAATTTATTCCTTTAGTCTCTCCCCAATCACTAATGCAGTCCCCAATTCTCCTGCAAAATGCACACATTAGTCTTTAGTTTAATCTAGAACTTGTCTGGTGTACTCACTCTCACCCTAACTTTATCTCCTACCACAACAACCACCCAGCGTACACCAAACTCCAACTGACAGCTACCCAATCCAGGTCTGGGAGTATTCCCTGGTCAAGCATCAACCATCAGGACATTCAATCCTGCTAACTACTAACAAAAAACAACTGATTTGCTGATATGCCAGTTTACCAAAACACCCAAAACAGACAATCGGCACCTGCTGAAGTTACAAAACTTTATTATAAAAGACATTAAGTTTTCACCTGCAGTATCAAAAAGTCCAAGAGTATATGGCTCTCCACCGATCATAACTGTGACTGCATAGTTGTCAAAAACCTAAAAACACAGAAATACAACATCGTTAGTGTGCAAGGGGATGGTCACAATGAGACAGGACAAATCTCAAACTAAGGCAATGTTTCCTTCCTAGATTTAATCCTCTCTCTCTTAATCCATCTCCTTATATAATCATACTTGGCCAATAAAGCTCTTGAAAGAGCTACATGGTTCTTGGAAAGAGTGAAAGGGAGTGTGCTATGGGAAGTCCAGTCTACCCTAGCAGCCTGGATAAATATCTGCAGAAGGTCTAGAGGTGTCACAGGAGCAAAGTCCTCTAGCTATACAAATCGATCCTGTTCAAGTCTAAAGCTTGAGACAATACTTTACCTCAGTGTTCAGTATGATTTCTAAGAAACTATATCTTAATAGGACAGTTTCTTTTAATTAAAATTAAAATCTCTTAGAACCATGATTAATCATTTTCCTTTCAGGGTCCAAGACAAGAAAAGTCCTGTGCAAATAAGCCCATGAGAGAAATGAAGAGTTCCTCAAGGTACTCAAGGAAAGTGTCCAAGAAAGGGCTGCTAATTATTTGTTGGGCAGTTCATGAACATACTTCATGTTACTAGATCACATGACCTTCTCTGAATAATGCTTTATTTGTAAATAACCATAAAATTCGTAACAAACTTGGTTTTACCAAGTACTTATGAAAATGGGAGGTAAGGGTATTAAATCTGCAGAACCTGGAAAAGATGCAACACTAATTCATAGTTTCCTTTGAATTAATTTACAACTGAAAAAACTTTCAAACTGGGAGAAAGATGTTGCATTTTAAGACCAGCACTGCTTAACCTTTTAAGTTATCTAACTCTAATTTGCTGGTTCAAATTTTAAGAGATTGTTTGGGAGTTGGTTTACATGTCAAGAGTGGAAGCAAGGGCATGAGGAAGGTGAGAGTTAAAGGAATTCTGCTCCTGGTAACAAGAACAAAGAAATGTAATGAATTTGGTTAAGCTTGCAAAACATGTTATTTTAAGTTACACTTAAGGGATTCAAAAATAGACGTCTTTACTGGATTGTTCATATTACAGGACTGGACTCATAACAGCTGGCTTCCATTCCATACTCTACTTAAACTAGTGCTTGACTCCTTAAGACATCTATCTAAATCTTGTCCTTCAGATGGGCCTGAATACCCTCCCTCATCCATAAAAGAAGATAAAATGATATAATCCTTTCTAGCTTTAAATTTCTATTGTCTAGAAATAGCAACTCCCAGCTCATATATGGGCACAAAAAGTATTTTGTATCAAATTCACTTTCATAATAGATTAAACAGATACCATTATTATTTGTGCTTCATGGTCCATGTACATAAATAAGCTCATTTAAACTTTTTCTATTCTTCCTCTACCCCCAACTACCCCCCTCCCAGAGATTCATATACAAACACACATATACAAACCCTCACAAGTCCACCTTCAATATAACATCTAATGATCAAAATCACAGAACATTCAGAAACCATGTTTCCAGGTAAATTAATGGAGACTGAGACACAAAAAATCAAATAGTTGTCCTTATCTGACACAAGATCTTGGTATCTGAAAGTCCCCTAAAAGTCCCTTTCAACCTCAGAACTACTTCCATATACATTGTCCAATGGACCAATAGAAAAATGTGATTCTGTATTTAATTATACCTTCAGAATCTCCCCTCCAAGGAACTTTACCTTCTTTTTTCCTATAACCTCAATCTCTTTCCTTGCCCTGCAATATTATTTTAAAAGCCCACTACCATCCACCCCAACTCATAGTAACCCTACAGGATAGAGCAGAACTGCTCCACAGGGTTTCCAAGGCTATAATCTTTATGAAAGCAGACTGTCTCATCTTTCTCCTGCAGAGTGACTGGTGGGTTCAAACTGCCAACCTTTCCGTTAGCAGCCCAGTGCTTTAACCACTGCACCCTCAGGGCTTCTTTGAAACATTACAAAGACTGTTAATTTCAATGGAACATAACTACCAAGGCTTTGACCCTGTACTTATCTTCTGGATAATGTTCATGTTTCTAAAGATTAACCTACTCAATGCCATTTTCTTCCTTTTCACTTCCAAAGACTACTATTTCCTATCAACCACACATACGTTCCTTTTAACTCCTAAAAATATCTCACTTAACGTAGGGGGTGAATGCCATGCCAAGTCAACCCCAAATCCCCTCTTGCCACTGAATGGATACCTATGTAATAAAATTATACCACTGGGTAAGTCAACCAACTTGGGACAAACACTAGATCCCACACACACTGTTTCACAAGTGAGTGGTATATTAATTCAAATCCTCCACCCCACTCCTCTTTGTTATTTCAGTTTTCTCTCTACCCTCCTAAAGAGTTAATAAAAAGTAATCATGGGGCAGGACTCTCAAAGGCTACTGCTAGTGTACTCATAACAAAACAACTCTTCTCTACCCCTCTGAACACCAGTGTGGAGCTCCACTGTTATTGTTGTCAGTGCCATGTAGTCACTTCCAACTCACAGCGACTTTATGAACAACAGGAGGAAACAATGTCCAGTCCAGCTCCATCCTCACAATCATATGCTATGTTTGAACCCATTGTTGCAACCACAGTGTCAATCCATCTCATTTAGGGATCCCTCTTTTTCACTGACTCTCTACTTTACCAAGCATGATTTGTTTCTCTGGGAACTGGTGCCCCTTAATAACATGACCAAAGTTCAAGAAATAAAACCTCACCATTCTCACTTCTAATATTCCAGATACACTTCTTCCAAGACAGATTTGTTCACTCTTCTGGCAGTCTGTGATATAGTCAGTATTCTTTGGCAACACCCATAGTCAGCATTCTTTGCCAACACCCTAACTCATAGGCATCAATTCTTCGGCAGTCTTATTTATTCATTGTCCAGCTTTTGCATATATATTAAGTCTACTGAAAATAAGATGACTAAGGTCAAGATCACCTTAATGTAAAAGTGACAGCTTTACTTTTTAACACTTTAAAGAAGTCTTTTGCAAGCAGATTTTCCCAATTCATTTTATCATTTGATTTCTTGACTGTTGCTTCCATGTGTGTTGACTGTGGATCCAATTAAATGAAATCCTAGACAACTTCAATCTTTTCTCCATTTATCATATGTTGCTTATGATCCAGTTGTGAGGATTTCTCTTTTATGTTGAGGAGGAGTAATTCATACTGATGGCTGTAGTCTTTGATCTTATCAGTTAAGTGCTTCAAGTCATCTTTGCTTTTAAGCAAGCAAGGCTGTGTCATCAGCATACAACAGGTTGTTAATGAGTCTCTCTCCAATCTTGTTGCCACGTTCTTCTTCATGTAGTCCAGCTTCTCAAATTGTTTGTTCAGCATACAGAACAAATTAGTATGGTGACAGGATACAGCACTGACGCACACCATTCCTGATTTTAATTCATGCAGTATTTCTTTTCTGTTCAAAGAGTGTCTCTTAGTCTATGTACAGGTTCCTCGTGAGCAAAATTAAGCATTCTGGAATTCCCATTCTTCACAATGTTATCCATACTTTGTTATGATCTACACAGTCAAATGCCTTTGCATAGTCAATGAAACACAGATAAACATCATTCTGGTGTTCTCTGCTTTCTACCAAGATCCATCGGATATCAGCAACATTATCCTTCATTTCACACCCTTTTCTGAATCCCACACATATTCTTGAATTTCCGGCACTTCCCTGTCAATATAGTGCTGCAACTTTTTTTAATTATCTTCAGCAAAATTTACTAGCATGTGATATTAATGATATTATTTGATAATTTCTGCATTCTGTTGGATCCTCTTTTTTTAGAATGGGCACAAATATGAATCTCTTCCAACTGGCTGGCCAGGTAGCTGCCTTCCAAATTCCTTGGCATAAACAAGTAAGCACTTCCAGTACTGTGACCATTTGTTGAAACATCTCATTTGGTATTCCATCAATTCCTGGAGTCTTGCTTTTCACCAATTCCTTCAGTGCAGCTTGGACTTCTTCCTTCACTACCATCAGTTCTTGATCATATGCTACCTCCTGAAATGGTTGAACATCAATCAATTCTTCTTGGTACAGTGAGTCTGTTATTCATTTCATCTTCTGTTGATGCTTCCTGCAACGTTCAATACTTTGCCCACAGATTCCTTCAATACTGAAACTCAAGGCTTTAATTTTTTTTTCTTCAGTTCTTTCAGCTTCAGAAATGCCAAGCATGTTCTTCCCTTTTGGTTTTCTAATTCCAGGTCTTCACACATCCCATTTTAATACTTTACTCTGTCTTCTCAAGCAACTCTTCAAACTCTTCTGTTTCTTCCATTCTTGTTAGCTACTTTATGCTTCAGAACAAGTTTCAGAGTCTCTTTTGACATTCATTTTGGTCTTCTCTTTCTTTGCTATTTAATGAATGACCTTTTGCTTTCTTCAATTACGTTGTCATAGATGTCATGCATCAACTCATCTATTCTTTGGTCATGAGTGTTCAATGCATCAAATCTCTTCTTAAGATGGTCTCTAAATTCAGATGGAATATACTCTCAAGGTCATACTCTGGCTCTCACAGACTTCTTTAAATTTTCTTCAGCTTCAACTTGAACTTGCTTATGAGCAACTGATAGTTTGTTTTGTAGTCAGCCTGTGGCCTTGTTCTGACTGGTAATACTGAGCTTCTCCACTGTTTCCTTCTAAAGATGTAGTCAATTTGATTCCTGTGTACTCCATCTGACAAGGTCCATGTGTATAGTCAACATTAATGTTGTTGAAAAAAGGCATTTTTGATGAACAGGTCATTGGTTTTGCAAAATTCTATCATGTGATATCAGCATCATTTTTCTCAAAGCCCTATTTTCCAACTACTAGAAAGGAGCTCGCTCCATTATGTCTAAGGAAATAGCTCCACAAAATTCTCTCCTTTCCCTCCAAGGAGAGACACATACTAGTTTCTCTGAAGTTACAAAACTCTGGAAAACATCCCAGGAAAGCTCTAAGCACTGGCCAAGATATATTTTTTTTTTTTTTTAAAGTCATCTCATTCCAAAATGTAGGGCATATTTCTCCAAATTGCGTCCACCACTCTTCAGAATATTGTCTAGTGGACCGTTGCCTCCCAGCACTTCTTGTAAACCTTTGTTATCACCCCTTCTGAATTTCCACTGATTTTCATCTGTTTAAAGTGTAAGTAATTTAACCATAAGAAGTTAAGATCCTTACAAACAGGGAACACTGGCAGACAACAAAAGTTTCAGTACACAAAGAGGAACAGTTTACAGAAAAATAGCACATCATAACACAATACATTTCACATACAGATGGAACCCTTTATACTTACAGTCGGTACATATTCAGATGGAAATTTGTTTGTTGTATAGGATATCAGGAGACATGTTTTACCAACGGCACCATCACCCACAACAACACACTTAATTGTCTGCATTGCTGAAATAGTTTTGTATCCACTTTAAATATTTCAAATTCAATGCTGACCTGCAAAAAAGATGAAAGATAAAATGTTTTATTTCTTTATACATATTTATATATGTATTTCTTTCTCAATTAGCAACAGGTTCATTGGTTCAGAGCACAACTACTATAAATGAAGCAACCTAAAAGAAGAGAACTAGTGACTTGATGAAAGTCACAATAACAAATATAAGTCAATTTTCTAAGTTTCTGGTCCCTGATTTTTTTCAACTTAAATTAAAAAAAAAAAAAATAGTTCAAGTGGTATAATGAGCAGCATAACTCATTTTATAGCAAAAGAGGCTATATCAGAATGAATCACATGTTATTTTCCTTGCCTTCAGTGGTATGTGCACGCACACACACACACACACATACATGTACTCAACTACAGTATAAAGGGCACTGCTTTTTAAAAAAAACAGTTAATCTGCCCAGCCTTAGAGCTGTACTTATTCTCAGGCTATAATCAACAAGCAGCAGAGGACCCCTACAATACATGAGCAGCAGAGGAACTAGATAAACATCAGGATGATCGATCCCTGGTCTCAGCAGCAGTTTCAGCACAAGACTGCATAGTTAGAAAAAGTCAAAATCTACATTTTATAATGAAAAAGACTGCTCTAAATCACAATGACTTATACATAGATATATTACTTAGGTTTCTCTTAATCTATTCCTCCATTCTATGAAGCTATCAGTTACAAATGCACCAAAGATTTGTAACATTTCATCACCTCTGAGGTATATTATTTTCCCTGCTAGTTGTCTGCCAATTCTTTCCCTCTTTAGTAACAGAATGTTTAGCTAAGCATGTTGCTGTTGTTGGATGCCATCCAGTCAATTCCAACCTATGGTAACCCCAATGTGTTACAAGCTTTAATCTTTCCACGAGCAGATCTCTAAGTCTTTCTGCCACAGGGCCACTAGGTGGGTTCAAACCAATAACCCTTCCTGTTCCCACTGCCATCGAGTCAATTCCAACTCATAGCAACAGCCAATGGGTTTCCAAGGCTGTAAATCTTTACGGAAGTAGACTGCCTCATCCTTTTCCTGTGGAGCAGCTGGAGGGTTTGAACTGTCAACCTTCGGGGTAGCAGCCAAATGCTTTACCCACTATGCCACCAGAGCTCCTCACTCTTCCTGATAGCAGCCCAGTATTTAACCATTGCTCCACCAGGGCTCCTAAAGCTAAGTATATGGGCTCTAATAATGACTATATTTCCCAGATTCCTTTGCAACTAGATGTGACTATTGTGATTAAGTTCTGGAAAATGGCAATGGAAGTGACAGATCCAACTTTTGGGACTACCCTTAAAAATGTAAAGAGCATAGCCTCCCCTATTCAGGTCGTAATGCATACAAGATGGTAGGAGCTGAAGTAGCCATACTTAACTACAAGATAGAAATGACATAAGGATGAGCAACACAATAGGAGGAGTCAGCCCTGATTTGCCTCCCAGGACTTTTACATGAGAAAGAAAGAAACTTACCTCTCATTAGGAACATAGCATTTTAGCACATAAAAAAAGTCATTCTTTTTCTGATATAGCTGTACATAAACTACATACATGCAAATTAATCACTCTTCTAAACTGTACGATGTCTCAATTCAATTCTTAAAGTTATAGAGTTGTGAGAAATGTGTAGCATTTTTTAAAAGAAAAAAATTAAATATGACAAACACTGTAACAAATTGAGTGTTCTAACCAAATCTTAATTGAAATCAAATGAGAATATCAACAAAGCAAAAATGATGAATCAAAAGAAAGTAAGGAGAGGGCAAAAACTCCAAGAAGTCTCAAAGTTCCAATATTCAAGGTCCCAATGGATTAACCTAAGATTGCTCTTGAACAGTTCCGAAGTCAGGAAAACTCTAGGTTTTAATCATTGCTCAGGCACTTACAAGTTAAAAGTGGCCCTGGGCAAATTTCTGAATCTCCTTCTGCTCAGTTTTCTCATTTGTAAAATAGAATTATATCAATGCCTCGCATACTTCTTATGAAGATTCAGTAATATAAAAGAACCTGGTTCACAGCACATACATGAACTTCCTCTACTAAACCCATCAGCAACTTCTCAGAAGGAAGGTTAGGCAATCTACTTCCTCAGTGATACTACCTCAAAAACCCAAGGAGGGGTCACTATGAGTCTGGTCCGACTCGATGGCAAAGAACAACAGCAAGTGCCAATCAAGTCTATCCAACCACACATGTACTTCGTCCAGTGGGTCAAAATTTATGCTGTACTTTCCACCTTGCTCAGTAAATTATTATCTACATCATCAAAACTTTTCACATTTTGCACATAGCAGGCACATCAAAAACATTAACATTAAAATGAACAGAGTATATTTGCTATTAAGCTATATTTGCTAAGAAGCCAAGAAATCCACTCAAATATTTCTTCTTTCTCTGAAGATTCCTTTACAGGCAGTCCCCAGGTTACCAACATGTGACTTGTGTACAACAGTAGTTCCAAACCAACCCACAGTAAAGCCTGTTATATTAAAAAGTTGAGGTTCATCAAGCTTAACTGGCATAACATACTACACAAAACATTGTTCCACCTGCTACTTTGGCGAGTAGCAACTGGGATCTTAGAAGCTTGTAAGGAGCCATCTAGATACAACAATGGGTCTTTCCTCATCCAGAGCAAAGAAGAATGAAGAAAACTAAAGATTCATGGAAACAATTAGTCCAAGCAACTGGTACACCATGCGATCCTCAGCTTATATGACTATGACCAGAGAATTAAATGGTGCCTGGTTACCACTGTCAACCACGCAGAGGGGGATCTATGTAGGAGATCCCGGATAGAGAGGGAGAACAATGTGGACCAAAACTCAAAATCATTTGGAGAAAAAAAAAAGGGGGGGTGGACCAGGTTTGGTGGTCTGATAGAGCCTGGTGGAACCACTGAGACTATGGCCCCTAGCTGCTCTTCAGGGCTGGAATTGAACCCACACCTGTGGCTTCCACCAAACAAAAGACAGGCATATGAGTTGAACATTTACTTGAGGTAGATACACTCCTTGGAGAGAACAATCATGGGAGAAAGAAGGGCTGTTTATGCACAGGGAGACAGCTCAGGGGGCAGGAGTACATGGAGGGATGGACACAGGGAAGAGGTAAGGGAGCAGTTGCACAGGGGTAAATTATAGTCAATGTCATGAGACAACGTGTATGTGAACTGCTGTATGGAAAGTAACTTGCTCTATAAACTTTTACCCAAATCACAATTAAAAAAAAAAAAAGTCGAGGTACATATAATGGTTCATAGTAACTATAGGTACTTTTTATGACAAGGCCTCAAAACATTACTACTACTACTATAGTGTTATGTTAAATATGTTTTAGTGTATCTGGAATTATCTCTGTGTTTTTTTATGCATAGAAAAGTACACTATAAACTAAGACAAACATATGACTAATTGATGTTAGATATGAACCGTACTTAACTGTTCCAACTAATGTACAAATTCCACTTAAAGACAGGCATAAGAATGGAACTTGTTCATATTCTGGGGACTGCCTGTACTATTATTTCTTTCTGTATTTACAGAGTAGTCCCCAAAACAAAGTTATCTCACAGGTTTTAACAAAATAATTTAGATATACAACAACAGAGTCTATCTTTAAACACCAAATTAAAAGCTTTATTAGTTTGTAACTTATCATTGCCTGTATGCAACCTAACAAAAATCTGTCACACCTTTTCCTGTTATGCTTACATTCCGCCTTCCAATCAGCAATTCTGAAAATAGCACCTCAAACCAAGCCCACCATAAAACCCACTGCCATCAAGTAGATTCTGACACATAGCGACCCTATATAATACAAGAGCAGAACTACCCCATAGGGTTTCCAAGGCCATAATTATTTATGGAAGCAGACTGACATCGTTCTCCCACAGAATGGCTGGTGGGTTTGAACCGCCCACCTTCTGGTTAGCAGTCAAATGCCTTAGGCACTACGCTATCAGAGCTCCCTTAAATCATATGAGCTTAGCCCGGATTAATCAAAAGAATCAAAACTTTTTTTTTTTTTTTTTTTAAAGAAATGGAAGGTCCCTTAATGAACCAACTTAATCCTCCCAAAAGACTTGTTGCCGCAAGGCCAGACATTTAGCACTGAAGTGTCCTGACATTTTTTTCAAACTCTTCTGACTTCAGGCAAATACATAACAAGCCACCTAAAGACAGTTCTTTAGTGAACTCTATATTTTGTTTAAAGTCTTCAGTAAACGGGAAATAATCTTAGAAAAAAATTTGCATTCATTCAAAAAGTCAAAGCAATACAGCTACTGCTCAAAGTACTTGCTCTCACAAAAATCCAAGAGGCTGAATATCATTAGCAATTTGCCTTCAGCTCAATAATAAATATATGCAAAGGGACAAAGAGCTGGCTTGCTTTCTGCCTGCAGTTAAACAGTGGGCTTCCCAAGCTCAGTGTTCCCCAGCTGTGATGCAATCATTTATCTGAACTGCTGCATCACCCTATAGGTTTTACACCGAATGCTCAGGCCACATAGGGCAACTTAAGTAATTAAGTTCTTAGTCTCTGATCTAGAAGTCTCGTGTCTTCTGTCAGCTTATTAGTACAAGTCTAAATTACTAGCTTGTAAGTAAGATGAAATAAAATCCCAGGCCCTCACACCTTTCACTTGATTGACTGAGCTTTGTGAAAAATAAAACGTTTTTAAAATAATTTGAATTTTTTTTTTTCTTCCTTCTTGCCCTCACTCCTAGGCCAGCTAGCACATCTTCTCTAGGAGCTGATCAGTTGTTTTAATCATTTACTGTTACATCTTCTAGGTGTGTCTATTCTAAAAGGAAGAAGAAATTAGTGAAGGCTAGAATACTACCACTAAGAAAGGTGGTAAGCAAGGTGGATCCTCACAGTAAGCACACAAAATAACTGAGGGGAAAATGATTTACTCTTACCTTGTTTGGGAACTCTGATGGTGTAGTGCCTAAGGCATTTGCCTGCTAACCAGAAGGCTCACGGTTCAAACCCACCAGC